ACTTATAGCGAAGGAATGAACAAGAGGGAAGCACATATTAAGTATATTTGTATAATATTAAGTATATATATTCTTGATCAGCATCAATAACCAATTCGGTCTAGCCATGTCCGTCGTTCCATCAGTATGTATGAAATTGTCGATTTTGGAAACCACAAGAGCTGGAGACTGAAATTTTGAATGTGATTATATGTATGTGTGTGTGAAATGAAGACAGAGTTTTTGTGTTTCAGGGAACCTCCTTCCCGAATAGAGCACTCTTATTTTTTTCTTTCTCTTTGAAAATTTGTTTAAAGCCGATTGAAAATCGTTGTATATCAATGTGCATTGCGTCTTCGTTCAGTGAAAGTTGCTTTTATAGAGTGATGTAATGCTTGAAATTTTTCGTTACAATCAGAACAATTATGAGGATGTGTAAGGTACTATTCATCGCTATAATATAATTCGTCAATTATTGGTACATAATTTGTACACCCTATGAATGTGTTGATTCAATGAGAGACTTTCTTACGATCCGCTGCTTGGTTGTGTTTTGGACGTCACACGCTCACATGTTTCAACTTGCAATTATAATCAAGGTAATTACGATGCTCTTAACGCAATTGCCGCGTCCGGCCCGGTTCCGGCCCCACGACGGCGGCACTGACAATGCCAACCAGAGCAGATCCATCAGCGTTGTCTTTGTAACGGAAGCGAGCAAAAAAGACATTGTCAGGCGGCAATAATAAGAAACACGCGAGACAAATAATCACGACTTGACGATTAAATAAACGCGTACCGCTACTATATCTATGTATGCAACATATTTATGTATAGGCATAGATATGTATGTATGTATAAATGAAGTAACAGGCGTAAATTGGGCATTAGAAGCGGTCAACTGCACTTCTTTTGTTTTCTTTTCATTTTTCAGTTTTTTTAGTTTTAATGAAGAAATAAAACGTCCGAATTTCCCCGTAGAAAAAGGTATAAATTTCTATTATTAAAAACAAATACATTCATACATGTGAATATCATTTATACATATGTACATGATTAGCAACTAGTACTCATGTATGAATGTTATTCAGCAATAATGATTTCAAAAGCGGTATGTGATTGGTATCGGTGTATGGTATGCCATAGTATGATCGCAGACATTATTTTTGTCCCCATTAGTAAGCTACAGTTGACGGATAAGCATTGAGCACGACACACAGTGTGAGAAATATTTCGAATGTACATCCATATGTGCATATGCATATCTATTCATAATTACATTGGTACAACTCAATGTGGAGTGTGCGAATTTTAGTGTGAATTTGTTAACTCCATTCAAATTTCGCACGCTATTCGTTTGGCGCTTGCTGCAGCCGCCCCCCATTCATGCGCCGACAACATACCTCCGTTTGTGGCGAGATGAAGTTGTAATCGACTCAAATTATGGCCAGATGCTGTTGGGGTTTGCCCGTGGTCGTTGGCTGGTAGCTAGCAACAAGTAGCCGGTAGCCGCACCGTCTACCACTGAGTCAAGCATTCGTTTGCAGTTGTTGTTGTTGTTAATATAGACCTTGACTTTGAAAAAGTATAAGTTGCTAGTGCAGTTGCATCAGCGGTCGGTGCGAAACGTGGCTGAAACCGAAAGCAAAGGCCAAACCCAAACTGGTTAATCTGAACGTGTCATTCGCTTTCTTCGATGCCAATTTAACTTGTTTTATACACTTTGGTTTTTAACGTCGCTTGCTGCAAACTTATTTAAATCATGCCGCTGAATTATTATGTAAATATTATGTAAATATAGTATTTACTGTCTACTATCTACAATTGCAAGTGTTTTTATTAATACGAGAATGTTTGAATATATGGCAGAAAATTCTTGTTTTTAAATTAAATATATCTTTTCTGTCTGCGGTAAATAGTTTTTAAAATATTTGGGGGGTATTCATAGATATAATTTAATTATGTTTCTAATTATCCATATAATTACCTTTATTGCGAAGAAGTATTTATGTATGAGACTTAATTTATTAAATGATGAGAATAATAATATTAATAACATATACATTTTTATGATTCACTTTGATTTATCATTTTTAATATAATAAATCATTATTAATTTTTATTCAAATTTCAATAAAAAATTTTTGGAATAGTTGCAGCTGTTAAAATCGCAATGCTCGTAACGTTCAGCTAATTAATCCATTAAAAATATGTAAATAGGGTATAATGGTTTTTTGCAAATGTATGTAACAGACAGAAAGAAAGAACTCCGACTCCATTAAGTATATATATTCATGATCATCATCCTATGTTATATCAGATGAGTCTTAAATTCCTTCTAGTGCCCGAGCATATCTAGCCGTAATAGTCACAAAATTTGGCACAAAGCTTCTATAATAGAATTACACAGAGGAAGTATATTTCATTTTTTTGATACCTTTTTAGAAAACAGTATCAATGTTAAGGCTGCTGTCATCCAGCAGATGGAAATATTTTTTAGGTAAAATTCGTATTTTTTGGCAAAAGCGTGTACTTCAGGTTTTGGTAAAAGATGATTCAGGGTATCTGTTAGTCGGTCACTCCCGTCAAGTGCACTCTAAATTGTTTGGTAATTAATATATTTCTATAATAAACAATAATTGAATTCGCTGGCGAATTGTCGATTCTCGAGGCAAAAATACTCTTGTCGAAAAGCCTTTTACGTTAAATTTTGGTTTACCAATATGCTAGGTGCATGGGGCTCAATAGTTTCGTGCAGACTTGTCTAAGCAAATAAGTATAATTTGGCTTACGCTTAAATAAGCAAGCATGTGCAACCAAATGGGTAAAGTACGCGTTAATTAGTAAGGTGTGCACTCAGAAAAATATAATACATACACCATAGGTATATAATATTCACGTGTAGGTTAAGTGAGCCACTTCAACAGTGGTTGCCATTATTACTCGCTAGTATTGCCAAATAATTGAAAACCAGAAATAATGTCCCTCAAAATCTTTGAAAGATAATTGGATCTTTGGATCGTCTTTGTGGGATTGCTTCCCAAAACCATAATGGGCTATTGTTTTGTACGCCCTGAGATGACGTGACTTAAAAAAAAACCGCAATAACATGTACTATTTATGTTACACATGAATAGGTAGGAGGTAATTAATTCATCTCTTTATGTATAACGCGGGCTTAGTGCATACAATTTGAGAAAGTATATAAGTCAAAATATATATGACTAATATTTACGAGTATCTGCATATTTGACTTCTGGGTTTTGGTTTTAAAAAGCCATAACTGAAATGAATGTAATCGCCAAGTGAATGGCAAGTCGTCAAATTGTGGTTATACTAGTGCATAAATAAACAACATACACACATACACTCTCATTTAGGCATAATGAAGTTTGTATATAAATACGTAATAATTAAGTAGATTACATAACTGGCTTAAGATTCCAGTTGGAAGTGAGATACAACTGGCGAGTGAGAGAAAGTACGCACGGTTGAGCCCATAAGCCACTTACCTTACCACCTGGATAGGTAGGTCACAACACAACTGTATCGGCGTTCGAATCACCGTTCTATTGAATGCTAAGAGCTCCATCAATGCAAATGGTCCAAGTCAAATAATCAAAACATATCCAATACAAGCAACGTAATTGTCGATTTGCGACGGCGAGTGCCACCATTTGGCCCCACTTGAACAATTTAAATATGGATGTATATAATGGTATATGTATGTATAATTTATGGTTGCAGCTAAGACTTGTTGACTGTCTGCGCTGATTAGTATCTGCTAACAATTTCAATGTTGGCTTGAATAGAGCCGATGCTGAACAATGGGGCGTATCCAATTAGATGGCGTAAATTGCTGACCATGCGCAGCTTACAAATGGTTCAATTCGATTATTTATTAATAAAGCTGGGGCAAGGGTAGTAATAGAATGAAATTCGAGGAGCTATGTTATGTGTTTTATATTTGACTTGAAGCCATGCTACAGGCCCTTTAACTGTTGGGGTCTGCAACTCGTGACGGGGACAACAATAGCACCACAAGAATTTAAACGAATTCAACTATGAAGGTCATTTGCTTGGTATCTTAAATTAATTACCTTACTTTTAATAAAAACAAATGCAATTTTCAACACAATTATTATGCCACTTTCAAACTTGTGTGTTTGTATGTAGTGTGGTTTTAGTGTGGTCTTACAGTTAGAGCAGGTCTCGTATAAACAATAGTCCGTAATTTGTTTTTAAATATGCTATTAGAGCTACTCAACAGAAACTGGTTTGAGTAGCTAGATTAACAAATAATGTCAAATTAGCTATGTACTTAAAAATACCTAATTAAATGTTACTTATGTCCTAAGAGCGGGTATTTTAAGTTTCTTGTGAAATATGTAATGTATTGTGTACTCCGACAACAATAACAACTCTAAGTCAATACCAAAATGTATATGAATATCATTTAATATATTTTAGTTCATAAAATATGAAGCTTGTTTTTGTGGAAAGTGCATTATATTTACCGATTCAATGACTAGTTGTTACCCGAAAAATGTTTACTTAATAGATGACCTTTTTGTTTTTTAGAAATCTTGCAGAGTTTGGTCTACAAAATCTTTGTTCAAAAAATTATTTACAACAAAATAGTTTAGTAAAATCTACTCAAAATTTGTATAACATATTGTTTGACTTAAGGTTTCTCCTTGTTAAAATAATTTTATATTTTGGGATAGACTTATAAATGAACACTTACCGAAGTTATAAAAGAAAATGTTATTATATATTAGTTAATTATATAATATGTTATATCATATATGGAATTTATTTAATTGTAATATTCTGTCAAATAAAATATATTAAATATCCATCCAAATCTTCTTTTGGACTCATCAAGAGTCCTTTAAAGAAATAATACAAGCTTTTTGCCATCTACTGTTAGCAATGTTCAATGATATGCATACTTAAATGATAACTGACCAATCGTTATTCAAAAATTGTTTTATGTTTGTTTAATTTCTATTACTTACCATGCCAAGCTGTTCTTTCCTCAGGCAAACTTGCACTTGTGAATGTGAACGTCTCGCCCAATATGCATCAACTTAGTACAAATATTTCACTTTTAATTGCTCACGACTGCAGCTGCACCACGAATATAGGCCAACCAGCACAATGCTTATAATTCAGCAATTACCGAATCGAAAACGCGAATTCCACGGTGAGTTGAGTAAATTATATCAATATTGTAGGCGAGTTATATTGATTTGTTTCTGATAAACATGCAGCTTAAATAGCTACCCATTCACAACTCGACACCTGTTCATAAGTGAGCGCTGAGCTTTAATCCACTGCTGGCTTGATTTCGGTCCGTTGGTAAATCTCTTTCTACCAAGGCCCCAAGTTACTGTCAGCGGCAAACTAACTGGCCAGCCGTTGAATTTGGAGCTTTTATAACGAATCGACATCGGTTCCCGCGGCGACTGCACAACGCCAGCGCCTAGGCCAACGAGACTGCCTGCGTTTGCGTTTTTTAAAAGCCAGTTTACCGCTGGCGGCGCTGCAGGCGCAGGCATATGCGCTGGAATTGCCGCCGACTGCGAAGAAGCTTGCTTATTTTTTTACTCTGCTCTAATTTATACTCATACCGGCGTCCGCGGGTTAGAGAGACGAGGAAAATATGTACATAGCAAGTGCTACTGAATACGATCAGCAATAGTTTTTAATGGCTTATACTTGCAGTATATACGTCAGTCCATGGGCCGGTTGTCACTTTTGGCTAGGACCCGCAGAGCAGCGCTTGACAAACTGTGCCAAATGGTATTTGTAAAACTTTGAGGTAAGCTCACATATAAAATAGATATTTGTACATACATACGCACACACACAGATACACATAAGTAACCCCATCGACCTTTCGGAGTGCGGCTGTTGTAATGCGACAAAACGTGGAATGGAAACGGCGTACATACATATGTGACCTAGAAAGTTTTTCTTTCGGAAATGTTACGAAAATTGTTGTTACGTTTGTGTAACGTTGATATAGGTAATTAATGCATTAATTAAGCATTTGGTCATATACTCAAGATCTGACCTATATTTGTCAGACTCCTACATATGACTAACTTATAAAAGTATTATCCCCTTATTTGCTGATCGTATTGCAGCCTCTAGTACTTACTACCAAAATTCAATAGCCAAACCCACATATGTGTCAAAATAACTTATTCAATGTAAAACAAGTAAGAGGTTCTTGTCGTGGTCTTGCGACTAGGGTATACCCTCTTATTATATTCTATTCTAAAGATTGATTTCAAAAATTCCCTTGGCATGGTTCGAACTCAACAGCTACACCAATAATGGAGACTTCATGAAAAAAAAACGAATTAAAATAGCAGCACAGAAAACAATACAATCGCAATTGCGTGAGTGTACATGTATACAAAAATTCTTGCAATTTGCGCTAGCTGCTGCTAACACGTAACCGAAACACATTACATTTGTGTGCTTCTTAACCAATCTTAATGAAATTTTCTACAGTATATCTTATCTTGTACCATAGAATATTTGTGTATTCTTAAAAAGTCAATTGCATTTAAATTGTCGTTTAAATTGGTGGGCAACACAAACGAATTATTGGAGTGGCTGTTGAGTAGAGGCGGCGACAAGTAGCGCGGTATTTTGCGAGACCTAACCCTACCGTAGCGCGATCTGGTTTTAGGTGTTGGAAGAAGAGGGTTCAGAGTTTCCCCTAGTTGGGAGCTCCCTACTAGAGCCTCTTATTTGTTTTATTTGAATAAGGAACTACTTGCCATCGACTCATACCTTTCCGCTAAAATAACATTTAAATTTTTCTATAAATTGGAATTAATAGCACTCACAGATATTTATGGACTTTGAAAAGGTCACATGTGAATGCATGTGTCTAAATTTTTTTTTTTGGCAAAATTAATTTTGATTTATATCAAATCAGTCACTTAACATCGAGAATAGTGTGACTAGGACGTGCTGTGAATTTGCAAGCAAAGAGAACCAGGTATCTAACCAGGTACAAGGTACTCCAATAAAGGTAGCAATATCTTTCGACACACACAATATCTTTCATTTCAATGCTTTGAAGCTTACAACATGTCCCCATCGTATAAAATGAGCTCTGCAAAAATTGAGGATGTTTCTGGCTAAGCCAGTCGATGCTTTGCGTAACAACGAGGATCAAAACGAGCTAGAGACACCAAACGTAACATGCATACAACCATTTCAAAATTATGACAAAAGTGTTATTTTGAGTCCATTAAACTTACTCCATTAAACATTAATGTTAGCAACTTGGTCCGCCTTTTCTAAAATAAGAGAAGAGTATTTGTTTTCAATGATGTCTTCACAATAATGGACGTACAAATTCATTTTTGATGTGTTTCACACTTTGTATTTTTATGTAGCATATATGTACAGAAATATTTCATATTTTTATAATAGATGAACGGAAAATTATTAATAAATAACTGGCAAAACTTAAAGGGTTCTTTTGAATAATATTGACTTAATATTTTAACACCATGTATTCGTAACGTTTATCCCGATCGAATTATTAAACTCAACCTTCCATGGAACTGGGTATAAGTTTCCTCCAAAGTAAACATAGAGTAACGTAAGGCTGCTTAAAATACCTCATTCTGATCACCATTTGATTGATCAGCCTTTTGCCTAGCACGAGCAAGTTTAGCCGACAACTCTGATGAACGAATTGTTTTGTACTGTGAAAGATTACAATTAGAAGGGCTCAATAGTGTGTTTAATGAAGTCTGAATATCTTTACCTCACAGAAGTTTTTCTGTAGCACAATTTGTGATATGAGTCGACGGCTCTCCCGCTGGCCAAAATAACTCTCGATGGTGTGGGGCGAAAGCGCAAATAGTTGTTCGCCACTGAGCGTATGCAGTCGCTTGATAATGTTGTCAGAGAAGCCTTTTCCGCGCAGCCATTCCTCCACCTCCCTGGGCTTGGAGTTTTGGTTGATATATATTTCAGGTGTCTTAAGAATTTCGAGGTCCCTGCGATGCTGTCTCTGCTGAAGCATGATTCTCAGTTCATCGTTAACGTCACCCTGTATAAGATAAGTCTCATCATCGGCATCGCAGTCATTTCGAGCGCGCATTGCTGTTATAGAAAAGTCAAAAATTTTATTGAAGTCTAGGCTACTAGTGAGTAAGTAGATTTTAAACCCACCTGCAAGTGCGCCAGCTGCGGCCATGTTTCGTTTCAAAGTCCCACTTGGGGTAGGAGTTTGGCTCTCACTAGCCGGAGGCATCGGTGGTGGGATGGGCACATTCGGCATTGAGTAGGAACGAGGCATGTTTTTGGAAGTACCGACTGGTTGCTGAGACTCACGCTCAGCAGCTGGCACATACATGGCCATCGTATTACGGTAAAGCGGATTATTGTTCTCTCCTTCTCCGTTCTCCATAGATACAGATGCCAATGATTCATTATCGCGAGCATTCCGATTAGGTACGTGCTCGAAATTGAAAGGAACTAACACGGTATGCGGTACGTAGCCAATGCTTCCAAAAGAATTTCGCGCCTTCCACCAGTTTCTAGAGTCGTCAATTATCTGCATATGTCATTACAAATTTATATTAATATTGTTGATAGATTTAATAAAAAGCTACGTATGTACCTCTAGATATTCGCCCTTCGTAACACCTAATTCCTTATCGTTCGTGGCCTTCTTATTATAAACCACCTCTGCGATATTCACGTTACGGCTTTGAAGACGACTTAGCCAGGTGCGGTTGCTTGCTGGACTTAGGGGTATGGGTACTGATGAGAATGTTTGGGTATTCTTGATCGCAGGTGCTAAGTACTGCACCTCCTCATCTACCACCCAATCTGGCGACCAATCGTCATAGAAAATAGGGTGGTATACCCCTACGTGATCTTTAAATTGATCCTTCGGCACTGTCCAATTTGGGCCCAGACTAAGCCACAGGCTTTTCTCATTTGAGTCCAATGTACAATTCAGAAAGCCAATTGTTTCTCGGCGCAATAGTGGATTCATGACGCTCTCTGGCAAGTGAGCACCGGCGTAAACATCGTTGCACACGTTCACAATAGTTTGCAGAGAAATGAAAACATTGTGAATTGGATCAGCGCTTTTGCTGAAATGGTTCTGCAATTTGACCGCATAGTTGAGGGCCAACTTAATTTTGGCTAATATGTCACAGAACTCGCTCTCGATTGGCGGACGCGATCGTAATACCAGTAGGCCTTCCCCATGAGGGTTATGCTGATTTTTACGAGACTCTAACTCATGCAATGCCTCGGCTGCATAGTGTAATCTTGCAATAAATCGTTCCACATCCTCGCTACGTTAAACAAATTTAAGAGAAACCAAAAAATATTAGTTAGACTTATTCAAATTGAAAGTAAGTTATAGCCTGAGGAATCAATAACATATCAAAAAGAATATTTTTCTTAAAATTTTAGTTTGATTATAAGAGCAGTCACTTTAAACAAGCAAGCATGATTCTAAAATCCATCAGAACAGTGCGAAATGTGCTTTAATTCCAGAGCCTCGAATGATTTTTACAAAGGTATAGTTAGCTTAATACACTTGAATACTCAATATTACACTGGGAAATCAATGAAATATCATTTGAGGCTCAGCTTTTAGAAAACAAGTTCTTCCCCTTAATAATTCTTACCATATTACAAATAAGGGTTACCACTTTTGTTAGGTTTTACTTAATATTGAAAAATGTAACTTTTTCAACTAATTACAAAAGAAAGATAACATACAAACAGTGATTGAGCACCTGCACATCGCGATCGGTTTGCTCGCGATCTTGTGCATTTTTCTCAGCGGCAATTCCTGCCACGGCTGCTGCTATCCCGTATTGATCCTTAGCCTGTTGATTGGCGGGACGCTCGGGCTTGGGCAAGCGTATGGGCGTCTTGTTCCGGTCCACTGTGACTGGCGAGCCGCTGCTTAGCTGACGCAGGTCTTCCACCAAATGTACCGAATTTACGTCACTTACCTATTGAAAAGAGTTTACATACTGGATTTTGTTACAAGTCATTAGATAATGACTCTTAACTCACTTGGAAAATGTGCATTTCTGTATTGCCCAAGGAGATTCCCGGAACAGAAAAAATCAAAATATTATTGTATGTTTCCAATGGATCATCGCTGATAAATGCGGTTGGCTCCGTTATTAGACTACCCGGGAAGTTCTCAATTTCTTTCATATCCTTATTAAGCATGACCAGCCATTGGCCATTAAAGCACATATACATCTTATGTGGCCAAATGCCACCCGTCTTATCTAACTCAATTAAGAGTTTCATTTTCTCTTTTGGGTGCTTAACTTCAGACTCATTTTTTAATTTAAAGGTGACCAAGTGCTCCAAGGCATATGTCGGCTTATTATCATCGTTGTCGTCATTGTGCTTATCACTGGAATGAGCACCATTTTCATAGCCGTTGCGGAGCATACTACTTTAAGGCAAATTAAAGGGAATTAATATTTTCACAAAAACACATATACTCATTTAGTGGTTAAGTAGTACTCTATCTATCATCGCATGACACTCTATCAATTAGATATTAATTCATATGAGGGGGAATTCCATAAAGTACAAATTTTTTAAACAGTATCAAGAGTAAGGACGATATAGTAAAACTGTCTGTTTGTTTATCTTCACGTGTCTCCAAGCTTTACACATCGTGTTACAATTTTTCATGGGACCGTGTTGTGAATGTAGGCAGTACATTTTTCGAAGTCGGCTAGGCTTAACCACTACATCATATTGCTGCTAAAAAACGATCGGTCAAAATTAATTTTCATTTACACACACTTTTTCCCGATGTTTACGATATATTGGCTCAATTTAGCACTTAGCTCGTATTTCTGGCGTATCTTACCAACATTGGACTACTTGCTATAACGCATAGCTAGAACCCTTCAAAGTATTGTAATATTTTTTGGAGAAACCCCATACCAGCACCACACCCACCCAACGTAATGAGCGTTTAATTCACATGGCGCTATGGTTATAAGGTTATAGCCTGAGAGTGCTATACCATATATAATAATAATTACAATTATCGAAAGAACGGTTTTTTTCTGCACGTTGAAAATTAGTTACCCTTGCAGAATTATGACTTAATGTTTTTCACTAAAAAAAAATTACTGTCCTCGAGGCCAAGGTCCTCCCATGCAATAGAAGCTGCCTGGGCCGCCTTTTCGTCCATCCCTTTCACACCGGCAAGAAGGCTTTTTATAAGAGAACAGCCTTTGCAAGTCTCAGTAAAAGAAATCATTTCAATAATAAACGAAAGAAAGGAGAATTGTGAACCTCCTTATTGCTGATTTCTTAAAAACATAAGCATTTTCAATATAAAACTCATTTTTGATCGATTCTTTATGATTGATATTGTAGACCGACACTGATAAGATTTCGCTCACATATAACTTCCACGGGTCTTCCGTACGGATTGTGTGCATATAAATAGCAGCATTATGATATGATATTGGTCGGAAACATCTCCGTCGTTACACATTTCGTTTGGTTTTGCACAATGTCCGACTTACTTTTAAGCCGCCCAATTTTTGGATGATATTAAACCTGAAGATTTGAATAATATATCGTCAGACAAAGTGATCAAATTTGCGGGACATACCCACAAAAAAGCACCAGATAGAACTACCTTCAACGAATCGCAAAATCGATACTTCCTCAAGGTGCAGCTGAAAAGTGTCTGCTTTGAGCTAATATTCGATACCTCTTGAAGCTCTTCTTACAAGGAGAACGAAGGAGAACGTCGGTCGCACCCAACGGCTAAGTTCTTACTTGATTTGTTCCGAGCCTTTGCAAAAATGAAAATGACCGGCTATTTTTTTGAGTTCTATGAATATTCACCTACGCGTAACCACCAGGGATCGAAAATATTTTAATGTCCTGTAACCTGGTTTGACCATTGCAATGCGACAAGAGTACTTCGGTTGCTAATGCGTTTAACCAACTCCGTGCGACTGATTTTTAAACGAAGTAAATTTCAATTTACAAAAATCCATACATGTACTAGTACATATATAAATATGATGATTTATAAGAAAAACGAAAATATATATTTATTTACGGGGTATAGTTTCTGCAATACACCTGTACGCTTGTGAATGTGGTGACTGCCGTGCTGATTAGATAAACGCCATATAGCGCCTGGTTATGCTTTGCACCTTATTGTCAATGCCACAGTTTTCCAGTTATCGCATTTTGGTAGAAAATTCTTGGCAAATGAAGCAATTTTTATAAACCGCCCGTTACATAAACCATTTATTTAAGGTAAACCAAAATATTTTTAGACCCTAATGACGGTTAAGTCGTTTTTTATTTTTCTCAAAAAATTTTTGATGTCATGACATCATTACCACACGCGATAATGACATCCATATCGCCTTTATCTTGCAGATCTTGATTTATTTTGTATATCTGCCGTTTTCTTATCGATCGGTTAGCGAATGACTTATTCTATTAATACACATACGCGAGATGAGCAATGCTTTACCTTAGAGGAGATATTCAGGCACTGAGCTGCTCTTTCAAAAACTTCCACTCTCGACACGCCGCGAATCAAAGTTGAACTAACTGCCAATGGCAATCTCCCAATGGAGCGATATCAGTTGGTTCTCTGCGCAGCGACTATTAATTGATTGCTCGAAATTGTTTCGGGTAAGTCTTATCTCTCCGTACGAAAAAAAAACACTTTTATCTACCTGTTCTTTTTATACCCTTAACCCATTGAAAATGGTGTATCAAATAGGGTATAATGGTTATCACCAAATGTATGTAACGGGAAGAAGGAAGCATCTCCGACCTTATAAAGTGCATATATTCTTCTCGATCTCGGAAACCATAACAGTATGAGGCTTGAAGTTTAATCCTGCTGCCCGTGCAGCACAAGTTTTTTCTTCAAATTTTCTATAACTGGCCCTACCTTAATGAAATCGATGTCGAATCGATATCGAAATTTGAGTTTTTAAGCATATCACTTCATTTTTTAACATTTTCGCCTTTTGGATATGTGGTCCCATTTTGAGAGGTAATTACACACAATGAGATGCATTTAAAAAAACTGTTGTACACCGAATTAAATCACAAGTATTTCCCATAGATGTGTGGCTAAGGAGGTAGAATTTTCGTGACGGCGCCTCAGCGCGCGGCATAGGGAATCTCCTAGTCGGGCTGACCCAATTTTGGCACTCATACTTTTGTTTTTGTTTTCATTGCTGCTTATTGACGCCGCATATTTTACTAGAAACATTATCAAAAAATAGTCAACAGCGATACTCACACATATATATTTTAGGTATATTTATATAATAGATATGCTTCCGACCAAATAACGCCTTAGCAATCAGTAGCAAAGTGCCATTTAATAATCAACTCAGGCATTGAAATCTAGACTGACTGATCTCAGCAAAATATTTAAATAAAAAATATTATATTTATATAACATACATAAATGAAATAAGAAGTAAGTGCTCGACTACGAGATTTCATGAACCTCGCGCCGCATTCGAGCTGTCTTGAAAATGGTGTAAGTTATCGATTATCGGAAGCAAACTCGATCCTCGCAGGCACTAGGAGGACTTACAGCTCCTTTAGCTATTTCAAGTCTCTAGCTCTTATAAGTTCTGATATCCTTGCGTTCATACATACGGAGAGACGGACAGACAGACGGACATGGCTAGGTCGACTCGGCTATTGGTGCTGATCAAAAATAGAAGTACTTTATGGGGTCGGAGATGCTTCCTTCTGCCTGTTACATAAATTTGCACAAATACCCTTTTACCCATTTTCAATGGGTTCAGGGTATAAAAATATATGATGTACTAGGTAGAATAGCATTTCCACTTTGAGTCCCGACATAAGACAGGTCTTAAAAAAGTGGTCGAAAATAAAAATACATGTAAAATATATTTCCGAAAAACATTAAAAATTGAGCTATTAAACGGACCAGCGTGCCAAATATAAAGTCTTTTAGAATGAAACGTTCATACATACAGATGGAGAAACACATTGCATTTTATATATTTTCCTATAAATATGTGTTACCAAAGTAAATAACTTATAACTACATGGGTATAGTTTTAAAAAGTACAAGTAATTAAAAGTTTATGTTCATTTAAATATTTATTGAATATGTAAATGGTCTTTTACAAGTGGCTGCGTAATCTGGCGTATCAGTCAAGATTAGGAACATCACCTTAAATCATCTTGGTATAAATTGGGTTTTTGTTTTAATTCGTTTTCGGGTTTGCCATTGCCAAATTATACCACATCGTTACAATTAACCAGGCGATTGCTGCAAATGAAAGTAAGAAATCAATCATTATACGTATGTAATTACTTTGGTCGCTTATCACACTACCCCTTAACTGAATATTAAAAGCAAATCAACTTTTTTCACTGCAACGTGACTCAGAGCCGCCTGTCTTATTGATAGCGACTTTTGTTGACATGTGAGTTGAGATTTGCGATTGTAGTTGTGCAACAAATACATTTCACAAAGACGCACTTCAGCAACACTCACCTGTCGGACTGCAATCGGAAAATATTTTCTGGTACAGCCTCCACATCGGAGTTCAGGCACAACAATTTGATACCGTTTATGGAACTGTATGCATTTAGTAGATCGGCGTGAGCTTGCGATTGCTGCTGCTGATGACGTTGGTGTATTTTAGAGAATTGCTCAGCTGAAATGGTTAATTTTCATGGGTTTAAAGCATACTGTATCAGTAGAGATTATTTCTGGTCTCTTACCCAATATACAATTAAAGGTTGGCCCAACAGTTCCGGTAATCGTCCGCTCCGAAATGCCTCCAATTATAAGGTCCACATCTGTCCAGCTCTTGTATACGCTCTTTAGTTTATGCACGAGCTTAAATAAGAGTCAAATAATAAAATATTAAATATGTATATAAATGTGAATTTTATTAAAATGAATCCACATGTTTGCTACAATTAAGAAAAAATAAATTAATATTCAATATAAAAATCTTTATACATAAAAAATAAAATTGATCATTTCAGTTAAAACCGTGTAATATTGAACCAGAAAGTAAGGTGACATTTGCCTTACGGTTTTGCAGATATGTCAGAATAATGGAGCTCGTAAATGTTGAATATCATGAATATCTTTTGTTAAAAAAAAAGTTTTCATACAAGAACTTAATTTTCGTGCATTTTGGGGACAAGACACATTAGCCAAAATCAAGAATGGGACGAATAAAGGATATCACAAGAGTGATCTAATCAGGCATCCCCGACTAGGAAATACCCAGAACCTCGCGGCCAAAAAATGATACTTTTGCACATATTTAATGGGTAAAGGGATATATCTAACATTATTAGAATTGAACAATATAATGAGTTCCCATAACTTGGACCTCATATCCTAATGCCAACAAATAGATTTTTCAGGACAAAAACAAAGTTGCTGTTACGAACATTTGAACTTTCTTAAACGCATACGTCAACGTTCAATTCATACATCCACTGCTCTAGCCGGGACTAGGGAATATGCTGAACATTCTTCTACCAAAAACAGATGCAGCTCACGCTACTGATCGTTTAATGGGTAAAGGGATATGTAAGTATAATAAGAAATAAATAGCCAACTTTAATTCTTTTTGTACATTTAAAACAAGTAAGAGGTTCTAGTCGGGAGCTTCCGACTAGGGGATACCCTGAGCCCTCTTCTTCCAACATCAAATGCATATATAAATTCTATTTTAGAAGCTATATGTCAAGTTTGGTGACTCTAGCTCTTATTTTTTACCAAAATTGCCCAAAACACAGGATTTCGATATCGATTTTTATCGATTGCTTGGAAACGGAGTATCGATTATCGGAAAAAAACTCGATCTGCGCAGGCACTAGAAGCACCTACATCTAAAATTTTAAGTCTCTAGCTCTTATAGGTTCTGAGATCCTTGCGTTCATACATACGGACAGACGGACGGACGGACAGACGGACAGACAGACGGAAATGGCTAGATCGAATCGGCTTTTGGTGCTGATCAAGAATATATAAACATTATGGTATCAATTGTACACACGGTATCAAATATACTCAAGTCCTGAGCATAAAGCATATAAATATTTAGCATGGCAATTATTCGAAAATGCATTTGCTACCTACCAAGAATACAGTTAAGTGTATAAGGTCATTTACTTACCTCCTTTGGTATAAGTGGCTCAAAATCTTTCCAATCAGTAATTTTTGTGTTATTACTGCATGCCTCCAAATACTTGTAATAGGGTTGTAAGCCATGATCCCGACCTCTTTGAATGTCAAATGCCAAAATATCGGCATGCGCCGGCTTCGTTTGCTCATGCCACACAATCTGTAACAAAGTTTAATAATGTCTTAATTTGTATAGAGGAAAGCTTTTTATACTCTGTTCACAAAGTTATGAAAATAGTTTATTGTCCGTCCGTCCGTATAATGTCTATTCAAACTAGAGGCTCGGAATATTACTCGTTTATGTGTTTAAACTTAAGAAGATTTAATGCCCTTGTAGAAATTTCCTTACGACTTAACAGATATGTTGCAAAAGTGAAGCTCGAAACTGGTAAAACCTGAAACTTTATTAATTGTTTTAAATACTTACAGAGCCTACGTAGGAAGCATCCATTTTCATAGCCCGCTCGTGGAGTAAGCTTTGCAGGATCACGTTAAGTTTTTTGGAAGTATACCCCAGTTGGGGCTTGTATATTTCATTTTTAAGCTCAAATAGATTCGTTAGCGGCAGGATAGTGCTGTAATGATCAGCAAAAATGAAAAGTATATTAACGAAAATATGTATATTGTCTTACTTGCTAACTGACTTAGAGTCAACTTCGTTATTGGTGGCTAGATCGTGCAGCACGTCTGGGAGCATTGAGAAATAGAAACGGATAGCAGCTACTCCAAATTCATTGGAAACCTCAAACAGTCGTTGCTCAGCAGTTACGGGTGGTGTAGTAAGCACTTCAGCGGCGTTCTCCTCGCCTAGAATCTCTGTGAGCCACTCCCTCAAGAAAACTCGTCGATAAATATCGATGTTGACTGCCTTTGCCGCCTGGAATAGCTGCTCATCACTCCAGCCCTTGTTACGTGCCAGCAGCTCAGCGGCAATGCGATTGTGGTTGCGCATGAAGATTGTATATATCAGAATAGAGAACGGATTGCTGTTAACACGCGAGTCCCCCGCCACAAAACAGGTGGTCGCATTTGCATTGTCGCTCCAAGCGCAGAAGGTATGATATTCATCCTCTGAAGTCATGGGCAAGAGGTTTCCGTTCGAGGTGGACTTCAAGGTGCCGTTGATCAACGTGCGCATTTTGCGCTCTGCTACATCTGTGAAACCGTAAAGCTGGGACATATCCAAAATGCCAGTCGCCTGGTTGAGCTGTCATACAAAAAATTGATCGAAGACGTCATTGACTGGCATTAATATTTTTTAAACGCACACACCTGCTCAGCAGCCCCAAAGCTACAGCTCTCGCCCACAGCAAGGGCGCTTCTTACATAGTTCAGACAGTTGGGCCAACTGTATTTATCATTGTGGAGAATTGGTGCACACAACGGATGATGGAAACGGGGCTGCAGACTGTTTTGATTGCGGTTGCAGCATTCGATCGGGGATCCATTGCCTAACATAAGAAATGATTGTTATTGGCAATGCAGTATCTAAAGAAATTTGCGGTGCCTTACTCATCGACTGAGAAACTGTCTTGCTTAGATCATGCTCTATAAACTGTGCAAATTGAACAAGCGCTAAATTTAAATTTCGACCATCATCTAGTTCGCTCTTTGCCCTAGAGCCAGTTTTCTGCTCTGCATTTTCCCGATCATACAAAGCCATGCTTATGGACCAAGCAGCGGGTAGTTTATCCTCGTCAAACATCTGGAAAGCAAATATCAATTAGCAATAGCTCAAATTTAGTGTCCACTCACCTCGTGAAAGCCATCCTTGTAGTGGCGCGGCAGAAGACGCCTAAAAGCATAGTGGCCAGCGCGTGAACTGTGCAGTAATCTATCACACTCGGATTTGAGCGCGCTGCCCTCAGGAAGCGCCTTTGTCCCAAGGTATTCACGGCACTCATCACTAGAGATCCCTAGAGGGACACACTTGCTGTTATACATGAATAGACTCGCCTTCAGAATTTTTAGCGCAATGTCACTGTCAAGTTTCGTTTTTTCATTCGGTAATGTATCCAGCAATTGAGCGTGTGAGATGCTGCCATGCTGGACAGTGATGTCAGAGCTTAAGAGATTGTCCTCGAGTCTATAATACACATTTGAAATTGCGAAATGTTCAGTAAGAGAAATTGCTGAAGCTTTGGATAGTTTGGTTTAGATTGTTCAGGTATAATTAAAAATAAGATCTTGCTCTACAAATTTCAAGCTTAGTAAAGCTTGCAACTAATTACATTGGAAAGATAAAATTATAAACAAACTGTTGATTATACATCTTCTCTGAATCTGACTGGGTATTTCTATAACACCTATAAATAAATAAGAGTTCTCTAGTTGGCAGTGTCCGACTAGGAGACATCCTGAAACGATTACATCAACTCAATTCATCGATTACATCAACTCAAGTTTACTTATTTAATAAATTCTCATTTAGTTGATTTAACGTTAAAATGCCTAGTGGCCATCTACTATGCTGCTATGCAAGAAGACTTTTGTAGTCTTTTCGATGATTTTCGTCCCTAGTTCTTTATCGCTGGCAACTGGAACGTTCACCATCTACTCTGCGGTACTCTGCAGGTACATGCAAAGAGGCCTAGCCACTGGTGATCCTACATTCTTACCCTTGCCTAGAACTAGGTCGCTCTTCGCAGAATACTATAAATTTGAGCACAAATTACCTCCTTTTGCTGATGGACTTCAGAGTTAAAACTAAGACTATGCCTGCGAACATCTCCCGTTTTCAAAGTAGGCTAGAGCCATTGGTAAATCGTAATTTGCATCCTATGCTCACCGGAAGACATTGACTCTCTAATGCAAGGCCAACAACATGTTGCTGGTACCCTTCTGCCACTTTATATCCTAATGTAAAAGTGCGGTTATCGTTATGGCATTCAAGAAAGGCAAGGATCCGCATCTTTCGAAAGTATATCGCCGTACGAGACGTTCGCCAGCATTTTTTAATTATTCGAGAGAATATTTCTTGATAGCATTTGGGCAGTCAGTTGGTAAATGCAAAATAATAATATATAAAGCTAAATATGCAGCTTATCGCAATCTGGAAAACTACCTGTTAAGCCGATCTTTTAACCCCACCCGATCATGTAATGAGATTATGTAATATATAAAATGACCAGCTAACCTCATTTTCATATATTTTTGCCATGGAATCTAAGAAAGTACGAGTAGAACTTAGCGTCGGTGGAAAAAAGGTGAAAGCTCGATCGATACAGCTCATGATCTGACTAGAAGTATTTTTATACCATGAACCCATTGACAATAGGTAAAAAATGTAATGTATTTTTGCAAATGTATGTAACAGGCCGAAGGAAGCAACTCCGACCCCATAAAGTGTATATATTATTCTTTTTGTTTGGCATCCTGTGGTTAAGTTAGCACAAGTACATAAAAATGTCTTGCTTGCAAAAATTCAAAACCAAAATAAAGCACAAAAGATCGGCTTTCTTCGACACGACGAAGAAATTTCCATAACGCATAGCGTAGAATTTCTTTTATACAAAAGCTTTTATAGAAGCTATAAGATGATATTCTGATATTCCTCCAAATTTCTATAAATACTTTATAGGGTTGAAGGCATTGCACAGCCCTTCGTGACAAATTAATACCCAATACAAGGATATAACAACAAAACTGAAGCAAAAAAGGCTTTCATAAAGATCAGATATTAAACAAGTATATATGTAGGATAGGTAGAATGTTTGTGGCGGCAACTCTGCGGTGGATACAGTGTAACTCGAAATGAGACTCTCGCGACTAAAGCAATATTACTTTTAAAATCATACACTAATATAATACAATTTTAATTAAATACAACCTTTTTTGTCTATTGATTGAATCAATTCCTGAAGTTACGAACTCCATCCATTGAACTGGCGAAATTCCATTTAAGTACTCCCTCACATTCTTGCTTAAAGTAAGATGAGCTGTAAGAAAATAAATGCAATTTTTAAAGAGAACTCTTTACACTTAGTGTACCCATGGGAAATGAGTAAAAATGCTTAAATGGTTTGTAAAAATACATGTAAAAGACAAAGATTTTTTTCCGACGAATTACTGTAAATATATCCTTGATCAGAAGCAGTTCCTCTTCCTTACATTGCAGATCATGTTTGTTTTATATAATCACTTCGTTTCTACTAGCGCGATAGGTATCGATCTTCAGATTAGAGTTTTTGAATATGTCTCGGACTTAAGAAGAGCTATAGATGCAAACTACGTTATAAAGGTTCTCGTATAGTATAGTATCATTCAAAATTATATTCTTTTTTTATTTTTGGATAACCATCCCGTCAAAAAACAATTTTAATTTGGACCCTCACGCTTTAGTTGAAAAACACGATCGAATTTCATATTAAAGTCCTGAAAGTTTTATAAGAAAAGAATCGAACGAAGCATGCTGCTATTTTAAAATATGAATATACACGCAAGTTTACATACAAGAATATACATGCATAAAGTTTGAATACGTAAATAATAATTTTAGTGTTATTTATTGATTATATACAGATACATATTAATATTCATATATCGTATAAATATGGTTTACAGAATATTAATAATTTTTCACTTGTATTTGCAATTGCATTACGTTTAATAAGTCTAAAATAAACTTACATTTTGGAAATTGAAGCACCTTAGCACTATTGCCGGGTCTCGCTGCTAACGTCAACAGTATTAGAAAAACGGGCAGGAAAAGATAAATAGGTAGCCCCAATATTAATTTCATCTTTTTTAATATTTATTTATATTAATCTCAAAAAGTGACTATGAAAACAAGATTCGTTCTATCAACACAAACATTAAATAATAGACAATTGAAGCCACTTCACAGATTGTTGATAAGAAATGTAATTGCGCTTCAACGATGCTAATCTCTACCCAAGCCGCTTTGTGGTATCTCTCGGGCGGTTCGTGTATTACTGAACGATATGCAAATCTCAACACACTACGCAGCTGAGCTGCGCTTAGTCATTATCAGCAGAATGAGTACTCATCGTACTCTCGAGAGAAGAGCAAGTAGAAATGCTCTGATTGGAAGCTTGACTTTGAAATACCCTTTAGACAATGTTGAATTCTTCACAAGCTTATTAATCAATGGTCCAATTTTTAAAATTAGTATTCGGCTATCTATATTGTTAAAGATTTAATTTTTTATTTTATATATTTATTAATTTTAATGGAGTTATTTTAAAGTTGGTAAATAGATTTTTATTTATGATCGTTTGTTTTTTTTTTAAATATTTTTGCATGCATACATATACATGTATAAACTTTCATGTTAATATCATCTTCTCATGCATGCAATTCATGTTAAATTCCGAAAAAATCGGAATTCTAGATATACCATGGAATTTGGAATTATTTTTACTATGTTTATATTAGTCTAGTACATTTACATATGACACTTTCGTGAATAGGGTATTCATAGGTCTAAGCGGAAAATAAAATAATATAAGCTTTGTTTTGATTCTTCGCCAAATACGCACATATCTATACTCTTGAAGTTACACTTATTTATGGATGATCTTCTTTGTTTGGGACATTTCAATTCATGATGTATAAATGTTTATATTTGGATACACTGAAACTGTACAATTACGATAATAATGCTCATACAAAGGCAGTATACGTACTTACATATGACATTTTTGCTCGTATGAAAATAAATAAATATATGTATGTGTGTGGCTTTCGCTTTGTATACAAAGCAGTTATTCAAACGCCACCAACATACTAATGAATATATGGACAGTGGTCGGGGTAATTATTTTAACGAGACAAATTTTGATTAATTTTTTTTATTTTTCAAAAAAGTTTTTAATTCAAAATTGACTACACAATTTGTATATATCCACTTTGTTTTAGGCATATTTAAATGTATCGTTATCAAATTGTTATTCAAATTAAATATGCCTTTATATGCTTCTGGAAATGCATATGAACTTAATTTTTAAATATTTATATTTATTTAATTTAAATAATCTAAATTTTTATCTCTATTTCGCGCTTATGCTCTGTCACTATTTACCAAGAATCAAGCTCGTAAGAATTTTAATTGTTATCAATATTTGAGCTTATACACAATATACATATGCATAAATATGTATGCAAAGGTTGACCAACTGTGTGTACTGCGATTGGCTTAAAAATATACATTTGTACTAATTTTTCATTAATTATATTAACTCAAAATAAATGAATAAATAATTATTCATAATTACAAAAATAATTTGATAATTTTTGGATTCAACGACAATATATTGTTTTGTAACATATCTGGCATTACCTCCTTTTTAAATTCTAGCGTACCAAATCTCTTTAAACTCTAAACAGGGTACACAAATTTCATCACGAAGTGCGTGACAGGTTGAATACATATGGATATATACGCACAGTTATAAATGACATCGCTAATTGTAATTACATTTGACTATGTAGGTATATACATACATGTACATGTATGTATATATTGGTAAACATGAATTTGTAATTTTGAATGAATCAAATTGATTGTTTCAAAAAACTTGATAGCTGTGGATATTCAAGGAACTTGATTCTGTATAGTTTTGTTGACGTGGTAGTTAACATCAAAAATTCCGATAATACCTGTTATATATCGAAAGTGAGTTATAAGACTGAATCTTGGAAAATTCAAACTCCAAGTGGGAGAAAGAGAACTTTTGTGTGAAAAACATCAAATACCACGAGCGATTCGGGTGTTTTTAAAAGCGAACTAGCAAGTGAGGAGTCGCCAACAATCCCGGTTAATAACGGTATAAAAACACCTGCTGGCCTTCCGGATAATCGAAGCTAATAGAAGCTCATAGTGCACAAATTTACAAATTTCGTTACCAGTAAAATAACCTAACATCACCTACATTACAGAAAACGAGTAGCCACTCAACATTTCAACCAAATGTTTTCGTTTGTCATCAGTTACAGTTACATACACTAACCATACAATGATTAGATGTATAAAAAAAAAAAAATAAATAAAATTTATCAAAAAGCAATATAATCAAAACATTGTATGGTATATATTATATTTGAAGACGTTCTCAGGTCTCATATACTAATTTTGGAGAAACGCATAGTTATTAACAGCAATCAATTATAATTTCGAAATATATCTTTCCTTATTCCCTTGAAATAAGATTTACACAATTTTCTATAAATTTAATTGTAAATAATGTAAATACTAGAAACAAGCCAGTATAATAAAATACTAGAAATAAGCCAATCTTATAAAATACCATAAGCTTATCGATCTGTAATGAATATATATCGATGCACATGGCATCGTAAGAAGACAATATTTGAATTGACATGGTGCGGTCGAGACTTAAGTCTTAAATAAAACAGTGTGAAATAAAAACTTAGAGAACGGAGTTTTACATAATTTAATTTTATTTTGCTTAAATTAATAATCGTATACCAGGGGCTTCATACAAAATATAGGCGAATCCCTTTGAAAGTATAAGTTTTGGTATTATACACTTTGAAATAAGTATTTCTTAGTAGTATCGTGGTATTTTCGTTCTTTCGTAACACGGTCACACTTAAGTTAGCTGTGGTTTGCCGAGTTTTCGTGTTGATGTATTAATATATTAAATACATAAAATAGCGTGCAGCAGTTTTTAACAATGCCTTTACTTGAAACGGATAGCTCCAACGATCAGTTCAACAATGATCAATCTAAGCCAATGTCTGGGCCCATCATTGGCATTATATATCCGCCGCCGGAAGTTAGAAGCATCCTTTTACAAAACAAACTCTAAATACATATTATTATTTTTATCTGAAGGTTTTCTTTATGCTCAGTAAACTATATTTAACTAATTAGATATTGTCGACAAGACCGCTAGCTTTGTGGCGCGTAACGGCCCGGAGTTTGAGGCTCGCATCCGGCAAAACGAGCTGGGTAACCCGAAATTTAACTTTTTAAATGGAGGCGATCCGTATCATGCCTATTACAGGCATAAGGTCAACGAGTTTCGTGAAGGAAACGGCAAGTATTATTCCTTGCTTAAATATCGACTTGTATAGTAATGTATTCCTTATTTAAATAGATAACAGCAACGCCGCAGTAAGTGGTATTAAGCAGCTGTCAGTGACGAGTGCGGCACAGCAGAGGCAGCAGGAGTTATTAAAACAGGTAGTGGAACAACAGTTTGTACCAAAAGAGCCGCCTGCGGAATTCGAATTCATTGCTGATCCGCCTTCTATATCTGCGTTAGACTTGTGAGTTAGAGCTGACCAAAATGATTCCCATAATGTTTGAGATTTTTTTTAGAGACATTGTGAAGTTAACAGCTCAATTTGTGGCCCGAAACGGACGTCAGTTTCTTACAAATCTGATGAGCAGGGAGCAACGAAACTTTCAATTTGATTTTCTACGACCGCAGCACTCTCTATTTCAGTACTTTACCAAGCTTTTAGAACAATATACTAAGGTACTTATTCCTCCAAAAGATCTACTGGGCAAGCTGCGTACCGAAAGCGCTCCCGGGCGCGCTAGTATGCTTCTAGTGCTGGAACAGGTAAAATATCGTGCCAATTGGCAACGACACCAGGAGGCGCAACGTCGCCGCGAAGAAGAAAAGATAGAACGCGAGCGTGTGGCCTACGCGCAAATCGACTGGCATGATTTTGTCGTGGTAGAGACGGTTGACTATCAGCCGTTTGAAAGCGGCAACTTTCCACCACCAACTAACCCCGACGAAGTCGGTGCTCGTGTGTTAATGGAAGAGCGTTTAATGGAGGAAGAGGGCGACATTGAAATGCAAATCGAGTCTGATGAAGAGGTAGATTCTCCAATGGTTAGTCACATGGACGGTGGTGTCAAACTCTCACAAATGGAGAATCGCGTAGGCATTCAAATGAAGAACGCTACGGCTTATGGGCAGCCAGCAAACGCAAAACGCGACAACACCCAGGTTCAGGACATGGATGAAGCTTCAAGTGATGAGGACACGCCAACTACAAAAATGCAGCCAAGTGTCGCGCCCATGCTACCACCCACACACGACAAGGTTGTGGTTAAAAAATACGATCCAAAGGCGGCCCAACCGAAGCCGGTGCCAGTGGCAACAGATGAATACCTTATATCGCCAATCACAGGCGAGAAAATCCCAGCCTCTAAAGTGTCGGAGCATATGCGCATTGGACTACTTGATCCACGCTGGGTGGAGCAGCGTGACAAGCACACAGTAGAGAAGATCAACCAAGACAATGTTTTCGCAGCAGGAACGGCTATCGAGGCCAGCTTAAAACAGTTGGCGGAGCGCCGCACAGATATTTTTGGAGTGGGTGATGAAGAAACTGTCATTGGAAAAAAGCTTGGGGAAGAAGAGACCAAAAAGGATGATCGCGTCACTTGGGACGGTCACACATCCAGTGTGGAAGCGGCCACGCGAGCAGCTCGTGCTAATATTACGCTCGAAGACCAAATACATCAAATTCACAAAGTGAAAGGTCTGCTGCACGATGAAGAAAAAGAGAAAATTGGACCCAAGCCTGTGGGTAACAAAGCGACGCTTTCCGCGCCTCCGCAGCCATTATCTTCAAAGAACCAACACACCAGCCACACAAATAGCCAGGCACAGCATCATCAAGGTGGTGGTGTCACTCATCACCACGCTCAGCACCATCATCACCAATCGCATCAGCAGCCGCCGTCGCTCCATCAACACCAGCAGCAGACGCAACACAGCATGTCGCAGTCCAATCCAGTTATGATGATGCAGAGACCACCCATGATACGTATGTTACATACATGAATTGTAATTTATATCTTATCCAATCGGATCTGTTTTAGCAACACCTTACGGCGTTGGCTCTGGTGGCTACATGGGCATGCCATCTGGAAGCGGCCCGCAGCAAATTTCTCCTGCGCCGCCAGTTGAGTTAATGCCTATTGAGGATGAGCCGCCTACTAAGAAAATACGTTCTGAAGATAACTTGGTGCCGGAAGCAGAATTCATAGCTCTTCATAAGGTTGGTTATGACTTATGGATATATATTATATATTAATTATATATTAGCCTGACAACTCTTATAGATGCTTTATTGTTAGTATTAGTCCATGGTAATAGGCTTATGTAAATAGTTAAGATACTACCGGCAGTCAGACGGGCAGGATTGATTAATTTAACACAGGTTCAGAGCCTGAAACATTTTATTATAAAATTTATTGCAAGTATGTTTTGATTTTGTGGCCTCATTTTCCGCACGCATAAAGTACCAGTTGATCTGTCCATCTATGGAGACCTCGAAAACTACAAAAGCCAATATTAAAATTTTAAATATGGATTCTTCTGTAGCATACGTAAAACAAGTTAATGTCGATGTGGTTTATAAGCCACAGCTCAAAAACGATGAGAGAGAAAACACAAGTTAGGTATATATAGACTTTCATGGAGTATACACAGATTTCATGAAAATCGTATGAATCATGTAGGGTACCTCCTAGTCGTACATTCTCGACTACAGAAAACTTACTTGTTTCAATAAAAATTTTCTGAAAAAATATTAACATTTTTTGCAGAGCCCTGTAACCATACAGGTGCAGGTACCAAACACCGAGAAATCTGAATGGAAGCTAAATGGTCAGATGATTGCCGTTACCCTGGCGCTAACCGACCCTATTGCAAACCTTAAGGCCAAGTTGCAGGACGAAACAGGCATGCCACCTGCAAAACAAAAAATATTCTATGAGGTAAGCAGTTCTCGACATTGGCTTTTACAAAATTCTTCAATTTATTTTGTTATTTTTTAGGGTATGTTCTTTAAGGATAGCAATACCATGGCTTTTTACAACCTATTAAGTGGTACTACGGTACACCTTCAAGTCAAGGAGCGCGGCGGTCGCAAGAAGTAAGGAAGGATAGAAATAAGGAGCTTACTCCTTTTAATAAAATCCATTTGTAACATGTAAAAGTTTATTTTTGTGAATGCTTTTGCAATCAATCAATATAAAAATGGTTAATCACAGAGTAATTTTGTTAATTGCACTTTAGTTGTATATATCTGTATATCAAATTTGGAGTATGGAATGTGGTGTCCAAAGTGCTTGGGTGATATTCAATATTTAATTCGTGAAGCGCGGAGTTACTAGAGATGACCACGTAGGGATTATACAAAAGCTCAGTGAGCCAATTGACCTTCGAGAACGCTCGCCATATCCCTGTATCGTTGCAACATAGGCGTGTATACGGTCTCACTATCTTTATTCGGCTCGCAAACTAGCTTAAGGTGATTTGGCGTTTTGCTGAGGATGTAGTCCCGATAGCTGTTAATGGGTTCCCTCTGCTCATTCTTATTCAGATAAAAAGCATAGGCTGCCCGATATGCGGCACCAAGAAGCGCCGCCTCACTCTCATTCTGTAACAGAGCAACGCATATAAGGAACACACTTAAAAAGGTCTGTCGGTAAACGGAAGTGGTCCCACTCACTTGTTTGTAGACAGGTGCATTGAACACATCAGCAATTACTTGAAGAATAGATTGGTTGACTGAGGCACCACCGGTAGCAAGGATTTTAGTCTGGTTACCAAAGTGGAAGCCCATATCCTCCGCAATAGCACGATGATGTAGCATTTGACCCTCGACTAATGCACGAATTTCAATTTGAGGCGAACTAAATCTATTAGAAAAGATACAGGAGGTTATTGGGGGACACAAATGTTTCTTATCTTACACTCACTTAAGTACACCCTTTACGGCGTCATTAGAACTCAGATGGATGTCCTTGTTCCAGCGAAGCGTTCCTTTTGCCTTGGGTATGATTTCCATTTCGTTAAAGTGCAGAGCCATGTTGCCAAAATTACCACGTGGTGTAGAATCCAGCAACTCATTGAACTTCTCCCAGCTGCCGTCAGCCTCTGATTTATTCATCGCTTCACGAACCATTGACCCGTTTCTGAAACTAAATTACGAAAGTAGGAGATCTGAAAAGAATGTCAAGCTGGTTTCTATATATTCTAACAAAAATACAAAAAATGTATCCTCTTAAACATAGGGCAAATGTACTTTTTGTTAAATTATTGTATACATACCACAAAAGTCCCATATATTCATGCGATTCCGTTGGATGGCACAGCACGTGTCCCTCTTCTAGATTAGGCGGTTCTTCCAGGCTCATCATCAGCGTGTCGCTGGTACCTAGTGATATACTCAGCCAATTTCTGTCGACAAGCATTCCTGCCAGAGCAGAAGGATTATCGCCCGTGCAGGCAACGACTTTGCATGTAGGTGGAAAGCAAAAGCGCTGCACAAAGTACTCGCTTACATTTCCCAGGATAGAAAATCCACTCACTGATTCACCCAAACGATCCTCCAGATCGGGCGCACAAGCATTAAGGCAAGTTTTTGACCACGTTTTGTTGCGAATGTCCAACAAGTTCATGCCTGAGCCATCGGCGTAGTCAATTGCCGCTACTTTTCCAAGGAACAGCGAAGCCAGAAAGCTGCTAACCAACGAGATTCTCTGCGCGTCCTCGTACGCGTGAGTACGTTGCTGGTAAATTTTACGTATTTGTGGCCCCGTGAAGCGCGCATAACACTTGGAACCAGTCATCCGAACCATTTCAGTCTGTCCACCAATGGCCGTTTCCATTTCGAAACACTGCTTTAAGGTTGATGCGTCCATCCAGATAGGCGTTCTGTTTACCACAAATGCTGAATCGTCGATTTGCGCATGCAGAAACTTTTCGGCATCTAAAGTCTGTAGAGCAGCAATGCCGTGCTTCGACCAGTACAGGGAGCCATGCTGCTGGGCAGAGCCACTAATGGCAACAACAGTGCTCAGATCAACCTCCTGTATTACCAATCGATCCAGAACAATGTCCATAGCCTTTACCCACATAACAGGCTGAACAAAGTACCTAATAAGGTCTCTTAAATTAGATCAACAAACTTGAAAACCCATAAAAACTACTTGACTCACTCGAATTTATTGGGGCCCGGGTTGGCGCCTCCTGTGGTACGAAACTCTGGTAAATCACTGTCGAATTTTACCTCTGCCGAGGCAATAACTTTCAGTTCGGCATTTAGGAGGATGGCCTTAAGCTGAAAAGATCAAGTTGTCAGTAGCCGTCACAATCAACCATCATTAGAATACTGCCTAAAGGGTAGTTAGCTGTTCATGCTTTCGTACGGCTATCCCAGCACATTCATTTTGATAACGTCGTATTTGCAAATAAAATGTGAAAAATTATAAACCCCTAATTTTATTTCGCATACCTAATCTTAAAAATAAGTCTTGATTAGAGAGAATCATTGCCTAAAAGGCCCTACGCCCTATACTAAATTTTTGCTTAAAAGACCGCCGAACTTGTCGATTGAAATACATATTTCGCTAAGGCAACGGTATGTAGATCTGATGTCATTTTAAGCTAGTAAGCAAAGGCTATTGAAAGGAAATAAACAGTTTGCTGAGGCACCTCGAAGATTATACACATACGTACAGGTTTACATATAAAAGTCAAGCTAGAGGGTACGAATGAGCGATAAGCAAATTCTAAATATATATGCATATTAATAAAAATTTGTTTCTGATTAGAAGTGTCAGTAATTTTAGCAGTTGAACAACCATTTGACCTTTTACAATAACATTTACTAGGCCTCATCCGCGTGCCGCGTAAGCAAGTGGATCTGAGGTGGTGTCTTCAAAGTCAAACAGATCGTACAGGAACAAACCTTAAACTTTATGCGTTTTTTACCTTTTGCGTACTCAAATCGAAGCCCAAAAATGTTTGTTGTGAGTCCTGTTCCTGTTGAGGCATTGTGTTTATATAGCGTTTGTGTTGATCCGCCTTTGAAATATTTATTTTATAGTCGTTTTCTAAGAATTACTGGCTTGCGTAAACTCCAAACAGTATCGTCCACTTGTTAGCACCTTGGGTTTGCTAATAAACTACCATTGACGCTTTGTAAGGAACGCACACCCAACCGATTTAATATAGGCGTCACAGGTGTAAGCATTTATTATTTTTTGTCGGGTTGTAGGGATGCACGATGTACATCGATATTTTACTTTTATGAGTCGGGCTGATTCGATATATCGAACCATCTAATATCAACTCTGACAAGCAATATATTGCATTTGAAGTATAAGAAATCGAATTTCCCCACTGTTATGCTCTACAGACATATAATGCAGGAACTATTATCTACATCTATTTCTAGCAATATGCCGCTACACAACGACTTTTCATTCACTTATAAAATGAATGTGTAACATAACATATTTAAATGATATCTTTAATGCAATTTCGGTAAGGCGTTGAGATGGTGCCAAAGCTAAACAATTATTGTCGGCTTGGTTTTTTTTAATTGCTTAGAATTTGTGGATTTGGTTGATCACTCTTGTCTTTATTTTTACATTAAATAGTTTGATTTCGTTAACAGTAATTTTTGCTCATGCATTTATTATAACAAAATGGCGACAAACCTCCCAAGTGCAGTGTTTTAAAAATATTTGAAATCAAAATGGAAAAAATGTTTAGTTATATTAAATATTGGCGGGTATTTTTCGGCTCGCCCGTAGAAAGTTGGCGATTTAAATTTTAGTTGGAATGAACGTTTTCCATCATGTTTGTCTTGCGGTGATAATCATGAAGCCAAATAGCGATTCTTATGGATGTTTGCTAATGAGCGGGTACCCGAAAAGCCCATTTAATTTGGAATCCTCATTTATCATCTACGAGAGAAGGTAGCTGATAAAAATTATTATATTATTTTGTTATTAGCCATTACAAACTGTTCTTGAAATTATAAATATAAAATGGTATATCAGCTATCATTTGCATTAAATTTCAGATTTTTTGTCTAGTTACACAAAAATAAAAGATTCTCATATTTTATCAATATTTTAACTCTATAGCAAAATAAAACTTAAAATATCACACTCAAATAGAAATATCAAAAATGACAGCCATTTACATTTATCGACAAAATATCGTATAAGAATATCGAAAAAATACCAGAATAAGCATCGTGTGATTATTGCCTATCGATGTTTCTCTAACTCATTTATTATTTTACAAATTGACGACAATTAATAAATTACAAGTTAAAAGTAAAATGTCGCTAAACTATGAAGAAATGAGTTGGTCAGGTAAGTGTTCACATACGAAAAACTTACTATTAACTTTTAGTTAAAAAAAAAAACAGCACACCTAGAGCTGAATAGATTTATAAATTTTGTTAGTACTTATTGATAAAATAAAATGTGTATTACGTGGAATACATTTTCAGATGTGCGAGATCAGTTTAGAAAATGGCGCGAGGAGTCTGGACGACACAGTGAGGAGGTGGTACAATTGTGGGTAGCCGTGCTCGAAGACAAAGTCCATAAAACAGGCAATGAAAGACACTTAATACTCGAGCAAGTCATTGTTGCTGCTTTGGATACCGCACGTTTCGACATTGCTACAAAGTGCACAAAGCAGCTCAGTGCCGAGTTTCCTGGTAGCTTGCGGGTGATGAAGTTTAAGGCCATGCGATTGGAAGCGCTTGAACAATACGATTCCGCCAATGAGGTATTAGATGGTATAATTGAGAAGGACGAGACAAATGCGGCGCCGCGCAAAAGGAAAATAGCCATAATGAAGGCACGCGGACTGCGCTTGGATGCCATAAAGGAACTAAATGCATATCTGAAAAAGTTGTGAAATATATATTTTATTTAAGTGAGTGAATGCTAATTGTTAAATTTATGTTGTTAGATTCATGTCCGATCAGGAAGCATGGCAGGAGCTCTGCAACTTGTATTTGAGCGAGGGTGAGTACGGTAAGGCCGCCTTTTGTATGGAAGAAGTCCTGCTACACAACCCCCACAGTCACCTGATACATCAGCGACTTGCTGACATTCGCTACACTATGGTAAGTGTGTATCGTCATATTGCGGTTCTTAACCCTTTATCTAAAACTTTATACCTTTAGAGTGGAGTAGAAAATATAGAAATAGCACGCACGTATTACTCGCAGGCTATCAAGCTAAATCCCCACAATTTGCGAGCACTTTACGGTTTGTTTTTGTGCTGCAGCTTTTTGGCTAATTCGAAAGCTGTAAGCTCCAAGCGTAAAGAGTCACAAAAATTGGCACAATGGGCACTGGAACAGGCTTTGGACCACACCGCCAAGCGTTCATCGATAAATAACAATGACAAATGGATAACATCCTTGGATTCTGCATTTGGTACTCTGGAGATCAAGTCAAATTGACCTGTAGTTTCTGCTGATATAGTTAGCATAGATGCGTTACCCAACAAAACGTAAACTTTTCCAAATATGCTTAAAAATATAACTATAATTTTTAAAGCAGTAACCACCCTACCATATACACATATAATACATGTTCATGAGTTTTAATATAAGTGAAATTCAAGTTGAAAAGTTGCAGTTTAGCCAACCTTTACTTCATGTTATAGTTTTGTTATTTTTTTGCCATTAGCTCGATCAACTTGTAAGCGTAGATTGCATAAATATGTATAGCTAGGAAAATTGATATGAAACTGGTAATTCAGAATTCTTTGTTGTCAGCCTCATTATTTGATGAATATCACATATTGCCGTACCAACCAAAATGTTCATCAAACTGGCTGATCGTTCACGTATAATAAATATAATAAAATATAAAGTATTCTTGGTCAGTTTGCATTGGTACTTCTGTTTTTTGCAGCCGGTATTTATATCGGAATAGGCCGGATCAGATCTGTACATCATATAAGACGCCATTGTAATAACCAAGCTTGGTATTTCTTAGTTTTACTTCTAAAATTCGGCAATAACGAGCTTAACTTTTTTCCTAACATCTATTTCAAACAAATCGGGCTACTTTATTATAAGTGTACATGGGAAAAACACTATTTTTAACCTAACACTCAGTTAAAGGACTGTACGATCGGAACGTTGCATGTATATATAAATATATATATGTTTCATGAGTAAATTGAAATCGCTACAAGAGTACTAATAGTATATTATAAACCTGAATCTTTGAAAAATAACGAAATAAAATATTCTTCGTGTTAAATTGGTGGTTGTGAACCATCACATGCGAATTCCTTAAGCTTAATTCAAGCAAATCGGACAATATCAAATAAAACCACAAATCGAATGAGGAGCACAAAACGAGTTAAGTTGCGAAGAGCTAACTTCCGGAATATTTTGTTTTTACCTTAGTTGAAACTTTGTTTTTGTCCATGTGCAGTGGCAAATAAGAACATGATATTTGCCAAATTATAATCGCATGGGCTAGTAAGTGTTCGTAACTTTGTGAACAGAAAAGATGTAGCTAATCATGGTTTTTATGGAACTCAAATCAAACAGAAGTATTATTTTCAAATGTTTTGTTGTTGTTTTCGCAAAGCAATTAAAATCCATTACAATAAACAAAGCTTAGTATGTACATATTAATACATATGCATATAAATAGATTATGAATGTCTGTAGGTGTAATCGGGTGCAGTAGACTGCCAGCTTGGACATCGCAAAGGCTTGTAAACGGCACTGATAAGCGTGTGTTACCCAGCCGAACTATAAATAAAAGCCCAAGACACCATATCTTAGTGGCACTACATCTGCACGACTCGTTCGTCAGGGTAATATTTTCTATAGATTTCAGTTTGAAGAGGAGCCACCTCCGCTCTGTGGTTTTTTTGCCGGCTTAAGGCGAAAAAATTCCTTAAAGCTGATCGTGGGTGACGTGAACTTTGTGCCTCTACATGGCTTATCAGATGCACTGGTTGATTCGTGCCCCTGCCCTATCATAGAGGCACACGAAGACGAACCTTCAGCCTTACGATTTCGGTTGACGTGGTCCGTGTTGCGATCTGCATTATTGGACGCATACCGTGATACACCGTCCAGGAACATCAGATTAGGAAGCACTTGAAATATGTATTCGCGGGCATGGGCTGCAGGCATCTCGGAGCCCTGGTTTTTGAACACAGTCTGAATTCCAGGATTCCCCATGCAGGAAAGTTGTTCTAATGAGGTACATTGACGCTCTATGCGATGAATCCAGTCGGTTATATTGCAGATATCGCAGTTGTTTATCCTGCACGATAAACACAGAAATAGTTTCATGGCAAGTACTTCGGCTAACTGATATTTCATCCTTACCACAAAATTTTCAGGTTGGGCAAGTAGGGAAATGTGTTGACATCTAGATTGCTATTGCGGTCCAAAATGAGCGTATGAAGTTCTTCAAAAAAAGAAAGAAATTTTAGATTCTGAAAGTTGTTGTGGCTGAGATCGAGGAATTTGGTCTGCGCAGCAAACTTGTCTGCCAGTCTTCGTGGAATGGTACATAAATTTTCGTAGGCCAGTGAGATTCGGCTGTCCTCCTCGAGCACGATGTCCGTAAAAGTCTCTTCGCTGCCGCAGCTGCTGTTCGATATAAGTCCACTGAACGAACATGGATTGGGAGTGATCATCTTCTCCCCTGTAGTAGACGAAATGTACACGTCGTTAAAGTCGTTGTCTAGCGGAGGGCATGGATACAGTGACTCCAGCGACTGAATGTTAGCACACGTCTTAAGCACCTCTTGTAAGCGACAATTATTGCTGTGTAAGGCATAACGATCAATAAATATAGCTTCCACTTTACACCATAACAGCTAATAGATAGTTACCTAGAAAGATCTTCTGAGTGCGATCGGGCAGACGTTGATTCTTCAGACATGCCTGCACCAACTCATTACTAGACAATTAAATCTTAACTTTTAATAGCGTTTGTTTTCGTCAGTTTGGGTTCGTTGGGCTTAGGTCCAGTGCTTTCAGCAGACTGAAAAAAATAATCATACAACACTCGCCACCCAGCGACAAGAACAGAGCAAGTGACAAAAGCGAAGATTTTGAGTCTTTTAGACTCAGTATATACATATGTATGTTCATACACATGTATTAAAGTGCATATATATGCGCACACAATTACACATGCACATGAAGCAACTACATATGCTTGCACATGTACATACATACATACATACGTGTATGCATATCTCTTCGTATACAATCTCACATCGTAAAGCATCTACACAAGCGTGTTTACACAACACAACAATAGGAGAACGTACTGCTTAATAGCCAGGGTTTCGTCTTTGTTTATACTCTACTTGTACTAGTTGGGGCATGACTGCACATTGAGTCTGTGTTATCTGAATCGTAGGTCTTATACCTAGCTACGATATAAATTAACGGTAAATAATAATGCACAGCTAGAATACTCGCTGTTCTTAGACTTGACGTACAATGAAATGCATATCAGCTCACATAAATCGGAGCGCATATTGAATATTTTGACAAGGATTATCAGTAATCTATTAAATTTTGTGACCTTAAGGCTGCGGGAAATCCGAGAGTAGTTGTCTCTAGTGGGCTTAAACGTAAAGATGAACGTACGGATTGTCAGACAGCTAAAAGAAGTTGCAAAAATTCATATTTTATTTTTATATTTATGAACAGATTATAATAAGGAGCCCGCCTCTCTAATACATACGATGGTGCATATTCAGCATTATGTTTTTGTTATGAGTATTTTTACGAGCGCCAACAAACTCTAAGCCTATAAACAACCGAGCCTATGCTGTAATCATATTTAATAACAATGAAAAGGGACGTATTTTGAGTACGTCGAAAATGAAATACCCTTGAATCCATGTTTTTAAGCCTCCCTCGCCAAATATCTTTTCCTTGAAAATAAATTAGAAGACGATCGGTCGAAACTGGAACCTTCGTCCATAAAACTTCCATGCGTTTCTATATTCGAAGAAACAGAGGACTGAGAACTAGAACAAGTTATCCATCTGTAACCATAGCGTTTACATTGAGAGATGTTGAGGATTCTTACCAAATATTCCAAGGGGCAGAGAAGTTATGGTTTAACAGCCAACATAATTTAAATTATGGGAATTCTTCAAAGGAGGCACTGAAGAATAAATTAACTGAAAAGCTAACAGAGAAAAAGGTGCGCAAGTTCCAAGGAAGTTCCATAGGGAAACTTTAACTGAATATTTTTATAGTATGACTAGGCTAGCAATCTAATTTGAATGAGGGAAGAATGATATAATTCATTATTAAGGGAATTCCAAATTCAAAACAGAATATAGGATGTCTATGCCACGCAGCTAATATTCTAATATAATATCTATAAAAAATAATTAATAATTAATTTTGGATTTAAGACAAAAAAAGCCAAAAAACTGAAAAGAAAGTGGTGTAATATAGTTGGATACAAGGCAAATCACGAAAAAGTGAAGAGAGGGCAAGTTTGAAACATGCAAATAATTGCTAATAAATAATAGAGCTTTTAAAAATATAAAAATCTGTGAATTTAATTATGCATCGATTAGTTAAAAGCTAAAGGACATTCATAGTGATACGCATATGACTACCTCGTCGGATTAAAATTCCGACTTGGCAAATACCTTTCAATAGTTACTAATGGCGGTTTTAAGTGAGGAATTCACACCAGATCTGGAAGTGTCTCACCTGGGTAGTCATTTGAGGTCCAAAGTTGTCACCTTAGTTAGGTGTTAAAAGCCAGTAAAGCCGATCCAGTCCAGTCATAATGATAATAAGAATGTCAAAATTAAAAAAAAATTCCGAACACGCTTCGCCTGTTGTATAGTTTCAAAAAAGGATGGTACTAAGAGACTTTGTTGTGACTACAGAAATGTAAATGAGAAAATTAGTGTGATACTTTCCAAAGTCATTGATTGATTGCGATGTAAGTAAGTTTGGGTAAGGAGCTGTCTCTTTGGCTTTTTAAGTATAATTCCGGAAAAAAATCGCATTTAAGGAAATGTATCCTACTCTCAAACTAGAAAAATTCGCTTTAGTGTAGGTTTTAAAAAAGTTTCTAGTATGTAAAATGAGACAATTTCCACAGTCCATAAGCAAGAGGGTTAATCCAAACAAAGCAAGTAGGAAGGGTATTTGAATGCAATCGACAAGGCTGGTGAACCTTTACAAATATATCACGTAGATGTCTAACGGAATTGAAGATTAATATAACAGTAAGGTTTTTTTTTTTTAAATTCAAAATTGTAAGTAAAAAGTTAACTTTAATGTGTTGTAATGGTCGCAGTTTTCCTATTTAAATTAAACCGCGTAAGCGATCCTAACAGCTTGCGTTTGTGTAACGACGCTATAGCGATCAGCTTTTGTCTGTCATGGTCAGCTGCGAATGAGTCAGCCGCTGCTATAAACCGCCTGCGTGCACGTTGGCAGCGCAGCTATCTTCCCTCTAATCCGGGAAAGAAAAAAGCTCTGAGACCCTATATAAGCCTGCAGGTCCCGGATATAACCCTTTTTTTTTTTTCAAAAGTTACTTTACCATCGAAGGTCTGGCTACGGCGGTGCGGACATAGCCCCACCAAAATATTAATCTAAAAGCAACAAGTTCGGGCATCAGTCGTTTAATTCGTTTAATTTAAATTCCAACTAAATTGAACCAAAAACAACAAAAAAAATAAAAAGAAAAACCCTAAAAGTAACCGATTGGCGAAATAAATTTTTTTGTTCATTTGATGATAACCTTTCGCTCCGCCACCCGGCCACCAGCACCTCACCGGCATATATTTCTTTGTGCCAAGATCTGGTCACAGTTTTAACCAGTTCTTGCTTGCCTGCCGAAAGTAATTTTTGGAGGAATAAATCTTGCCGCCGCCGTCTCTGACAGAAAAACCCACTTATTTTGAGGCAGCCGCCACGTGTGCCAATTGGACGGCACTGTAATTTCTTGGGACGGCAATGACATTTCTGCCCCCATTAAATAGACGTCAGCCTCAACGGCGGATCAGCTGCCATACCCTTGCTCATGCCAGCAAGGGCAGGCGCCGTTTCCACAGTTTGGAATCCGGAAGAGGCAGTAGCCTTCTGGGCCCCATTGACGCGCCGCTGATCAGAAGCCCAGATGACATCGCCAATTAAGTTGGCCGGAGCGTGCAGATGCATGAAAATTGCTGTTAAATGTTTTTAGTAAAAAAATTGTTAACTAAATCTTGTGAGAGACTTCCAAAAGTTTGTGAAAAGTGCATTTATTAGGCCCTCAAAAAACCGCGTGCAAGTGCAGTGAAAAAGAAAAATTGACATCTATATACATAGCTTTATATATATAGAAAGGAATACTAGTATAAATCTATCCCCCTTCTTGTAGAGTCCAAAGTCATTTCAGAATTTTTTTTATATTTTTTTTCCCACTTATTTTCGGAGAGTATCTTCTTAGTACTCACAATTTAAAAACCCTCCTGTGCCATAATAATATAATCAAAACAATTTAAAGCCCCACAGAAGACAAAAGAAAACAAATGAAAAAAAAATTAAATAAAATTTGCTGCAAACTCTCCGCTGGAAGGCCTTTCATCGAGGAATACATGTAAGTTTTTAACCTTTTGTTTTGAGTATATTTTCTTATTTTGGCACAGATAAGCACAGCCAAACTGACATGCGCACCTGCTGAGTTTTTTTTACTTTCTGTTTCACATTACGCTTTAGCTCCGATCAATATGTTTATGACCGTGTCAGTCTGGTGAATGCTTATCATCTTTGATTCTACCTACACCCCGCTCAATTACTAGCTGAAACAGAAGCAACCTAAAAGAAAAGATTTTTAACAGAATCAAATATATGTACACAAAGATGTATCATCGTATTCACCGATCAGCTGGTTGCGCTGCGCTCCGATTTGCCCATGCGCTTTGAGCTTAACCTTCTGTTGCCCATATTTTTTTCGACCATACAATTAACCATCAACTACAATTGTATTGACTCTATTATAATAACTTTTTTTTTTGCTTTTGCCGAATACACTTTAGTTCAATTTACGAATGTCATTTTTTTCTTACCTAGCTATATTCTATAATTATTAAAATGCACTTTAGCGAAATTTGGAGAGTTTCTTTTTGATCAATAAGAAAAAAAAATATTAACTGAATAGTTTATAAAATGAATTATTTTTGAAGAATCTTTGAGACATTGTAAAAATATTAACGGACTAGTTTTAGTTACTGAATTATTGTTGAATCATTAATGCCACTTGTAATAAGATGCAGATTATCTAACGGAAGGATTCAGTTTCATTGAATAATGCTTTTGTTTATAATAAATATTAATTACGGATTTTGATTATGAATTGCTAAGTTTTCTTTCCTGGTGACATGGTGATATAATGTAGTAGAAGAATGTTTTTTTTGGGATCTTCAAAACCTTAAACGCTGAAGATCATGGTTGGGAGGGTATCGAACGCGAGAGTCAGCTTACATCCAAGACTTCGCCTCTTCGGAATATATATGCCCTAATGAAAGCTATCACCATTGTATTGGCACTTTAAGTGCTCGTTAAGTTATGCCTGTTTGAGATTTTGTTTCTGCGGAGTATCGGTCTCCAATTTAGATTCTGTAGGGATCCTAAAATAAAATTGTGTATGCAGGTCGAGACATGGCAAAAAGAACCCCCCCACCCGAAAGAGCTAGGGAACAAGAGGATCCCGCCCTGCCATGCTAACTCAACCACGAGGGGCCTCGGTGACTACTTCCCGAATTATTTTGTGAAGATTGGCTGCCAACCGCCGTCACCGTTGCTACCCGATATGTATTGCTAGAGTAGCTTCACCACAGTACTTGCCACATAAATTTTTGGCGCCCAATCATGGGGCCCGAGGTTGTCTATAAAAAAAAAAAAAAATAAAAAAAAAAAAAAAAAAATGAGTCTTTATATTATTGTCCACGCACGCTGACGTCGATGTGACTGGTTTAGTCTATCTTCCGCATGCGCAGATACTGGTAGTATACAAGATAGTAATTAGGACTACGATGCTTACAATTCAGAGCTT